ATGTGTGTATATATATGTATATGTGTGTATATATATGTATATGTGTGTATATATATGTATATGTATATATATATGTATGTATATGTATGTATATATATATGTATGTATATGTATGTATATGTATGTATATATGTATATGTATGTATATATATATGTATATATATGTATATATGTATATGTGTGTGTGTGTGTGTGTATATGTATATATGTGTATATGTTTATAATAGTATTTTATATTTCAGTTTTGGCCTCATAATGATTGCTTATGGTTCACCTTTTTTTCAGCATTCTCCGAATACCGTACATCAGCCATAAATTGCACAGCATTTATGGTTTGTAAGAAGCTGTATTCTCAGGGGCATGTGATCTATTGTAAAAATGGATAGAATGTGACAGTTTGGCTTTATGCTCAGCATTGTGACAGTTTGAGGTTAAAGTTGGCTAAGAATTTTAGACTAAATAGGGAGACATTACCAATCTCAAAATGCTAAATATTTCCTTGGCAAAAAGAGTTTGAAACTCTTTATGGGCAGCTCCAGTCCTGGAGGGTCTGTATCCTGCAACTTTTACATGTGTCCACGGCTTAACACACCTGAGTCAAGTAAATAGATAATTAAAAGGAGTCTGGAGAAATTGATTACATACTGGGGAGGTAATTCAACCATTTGATCCAGGTGTGCTGGACCAAGGATGAATTTAAATGTTGCAGGAAACGCGCCCTCAAGAACTGGAGTTGCCCACCCTAGCCTTAAATGTTTGCTTAGAACCGGAGAACAGCAGTAACTAGCTACTTGTACTGAGCAGCATTTACTTGAGCAAATGTTTGACAAGTACCTACGTTTGGGATTTTTTATTTTTTTATTTTTATTTTTTTATTACACCATACACTTTACGTTTGCCTGAGTAATATCTTTATAAAATATTCATACTCCTACCTAAGTAAAATATTTTAGCTACTCCATCCAATGTGAATAACTTAATAACTCAAATGGAAAATATCCTCTTCAGTTAATTTACTTACGGTATGGCTTTCAATACCTGCCAGGGTCCAATTGTTGCTATTTGTAGGAGTCTGCTGGTCCCTCAGGTTTGGAGTAGCTGTCTGACCTTGTAGGAGAAGGAAGATTCACAATCATCCCCTCTTTCTGCCTTCTTTATTTTTGTTTCTTCCCTCTCTTTTAATTCCCCAATTTATAGATGTTAGGCCAAATCATATCTAGCCCCCAGAACATTTAATCTAAACCTGACTTTTACACTTTTTACACTTTTACGCTGGTTGCTGTTGAGTGGACTAAACCATTTTGCACCTCTAAGAGGGGGAAACCTGGATGTCCGATATGTTGGGTAGACTTTGAGACAAAGTTAATTCTATTATTTAATGGTATCCATATACTTTTAATAAATCATAACACCAAATAATAGGAGGGCCCACTGAATTTGAAGAATTGCATCGCATAAGAAAATAAATCGTAGTTATTAGGGTGAGAGGGGCTGGTTCTAGTTTAATTTAAAAAATGCTTTGGTTTTGGACCTGCAGAAATTAAGGTTCCACCATGCTTTTACCTCGTTCAGGCAGATTGTGTTGACAGGGATGGCAGGAGTGTTGTGGGTTATATAAATATTGAATAGCGTGGGTGCAATGAACCCTGCATTTGACAGTGCAAATCCCAGTATGGATTTTCAAATGAAGAAGTATAATGTATAGTTTGTGAGACAGATAAAAACCACTTTAGAACATTGTGACTGAGTTTACGGTAATAATGCAAAGTAGCCAATTTATGATCATGCAGTGATAAGGGCATCAATCTTGCAGTGATAAGGGTGTCAAAAGTTTGCGTCTTCAGATTATTCATATTATTCTGTTTTTGAAGTAATTGGTTTTAGGCAATCATGTATTTTTTGACTAAAGTGTATTTTAGAATCCTTTAAAAAGAATAAAGTATGTTACTGGTTGACAAATAGTCAAAATTTCTCAATCGATGAGTTTTTAAGCAGCGGCTTAGTTATGGCAGTTTTCAATGTGGATGGGAAAATACCAGTACAGACAGACCCATTAATAATATGGAGATAAGATGAGCTAAAACAGAGATGTTTGTCATGACTACAGCAGAGGGGAAAGCGTCCAGACAACAGCATGCAGTCTATTTCAACCTCTTGATGTTGAGAAACTCTTGCTAGGAGACAGAGAAAAGGAAATACAGAAGCTGGAGAGTTCCAGACTGTAGATCAAGAGACTTAAATTGGATGAGGAGCTTAGGGCAGAGTGGACCGGGTTGATTTTTGTGGAGGTCTAAGTCCAGCTCTGTGCAGAAAACTAGATGGTGGACTTTGTCTGCCAAGGTTCGCAAATGAAAAATCTAGGAACGTCTTATGATTTGGTCCATAAATGTCACTATGATCCATAGATTGTGAGCAACTAACTTAAAAAGCACGAAGAGGCTTTTAAAAAGGTTACAAATGACTTTTAATCTCTAGTTGATCGACCCCCAACCCCCCCATTAGTTCAAAGGGAATATTAGGAGCAAGGGGAAAATAAGCAGAAAGTAGAAAAACCTGCAAACGTGGTATCCTCCAATCAAGAATAACTGAACCTTACAGTCATCTGGACAGTGAGTCCAGATGACTTGAATTTTATCTCTAGAACTTGCCCAGCCATTTTAATTTATCAAAGCACATCATTATAGTTAATATACTAGACAGTAGATCTAGTATTAAATAAGCTAACCATTTATAACAGTTTTGGAAGTCCACAAAGGTGGTAAACATTTTATTTAAGCTGGTCAATAATCCAGTATCAACTTAGGTTTCAATATAGTTTTGTTCCATAATTATGATAACACATTTCCAATATTTACATGTATACATTACAGTCTATAAACCTATTTGTCAATATTTTGTGCAGTTTGAAGTATTACATTTGAAGAGCTTGATGGAAACTCATTACATTAACTAAAAACATACTAAATTCCGCAGAATTGCCTTGTATGAGATCACAAATAAACTGGATATGTTGGGGTAAGCCTGTTCAATAGTTTGTGATAGATTTTGAGACAGTTGCTTTTTGCAGTAACTGCAGTACAGTGAAATCCACTGGGCTTCTCCTGGTCTGTCCACTGTGTTTCTCAATGTTGGCATGGCAATGGTCAAGAGAACTACTGCTCAAACGATGTGGAAGACATATTAGACTAATTTTATTGTCATTTTGTATACACAACGTGTATGCAAAGTGACACTTGGTACAGCTCTCATGACATCTCCATTTCTTAAAACACGGTGATCAAATGTAAACATAAGACTGTGATATGATTTAGTTTTTCCAACATTCAGTTCAGTTTTTTTTTTTTTTTTTTTGGGTGGTTGGTGTGCCACAGTAGTGGCATGGTGACTACAGCTGGCCAGAAACAGTCACCAAAATCGACAAGTTTTCAGTGCTAGCCTGTGTGCGTATGGTGGTTTCTTTTATAGACTTAAGTTGTTTGATGGGTGAGATGCAGCATGGAATGGTTCAGTTGTTAAACTTTTACAGGTCACTGGCGGTGTATTGCAGTATAAATACGTTGAGCTCCGTTATCCGATAGTGAGGTTCAACAAGAAGTACAAAGATAACAGCTAAAGGACAACCAACTGAGCAGTGGACTGAGGCCAGGTTTTAGCTGTAAAGTTTCCGGCTAGAAATCGATGACAGTTGCTTTTATGGCTTTTTAAGGATTGTTCGATCATCAGTTTCTCTAACAGAGAGATGAGGATTTGCAACAGCGGATATAAAGGTAAGTACAGAGTAGCAGGAGCTAAAACACACCAGGGTTAAACAGCATTTCATCACATAACTAATGGCAGGTACAAACTTAATAAGACTGAATGCTAAATCAGGATGTATTTTAACAGAGTATGGGTTAACGGGTGTTAACACATGTGCAACCATCTTATAGGACCTTTTTAATAATTTGCATCTCTGCCCCAAAATATTTTTTTTTCTTCTCAGTTGAACCATACAGGTTAAATGTCACAATAGTTTATTTATTTATTTTTTTCACTAATGTAATATGGTCTCTTTCTTTTTTTGTTTTTGTCACAAAAATGATCAGGAGTGTGTACGTTTTTGAAGTTTTCCTGTGTGGATGATTAATTGTTAGAGTAGCTCTTGTTGCCAGGTGTGCCTGGAAGAAACAGAGTGATGCAATAGACTGGTGGGCATACCTGCACTATATTATCTCTTATATTTTATTTAGCATTGTGTGTGTGTGTGTGTGTGTGTGTGTACTGTACTATATAGCACCCTGACACAGTCTACAGTTGAGCCAGTAATGCATTAGCTATGGCCAGAGATGGGTTGGTATGGAATAAATAATGGATGCCATCCTTTCTTTTGAATAAATCAGGACCAGAGATACAGAGAGAGATTAACTGGGGAAGAGAGTTGGAGACATTCAGTGCCAGATATAAAAAAAAAAAAAGACTTTGTGTAGCTGGAAGAGAAATAAAGTGGCAGGAATGGTTTCTTGCATTCCAGACGGGTGTCTCGTTTCTTCTGTTCATGTTTTATTAATGGACAATCAGCTGAAATCTAAAATGCAACTGTTCTCAAGTGAAACGCAAATATTCAGTTTATTTTATTTCTGCTCTTTAGGCACAAGGCCAGACATTCACCTTCCCAAACATCTTTCCGGAAAAGGACCAAACGCCAACAGAGGGTTCGATGGAAGAGATGCAGGAGAAGTTCATGGAGGACGAGAAGCAGAGGCAGAAACTCGACCCCAGGAGAGGAGGGGTCACCGAGTGGTTTGGACTCTGAAGCACAGGGGGGGTATTGATTTGAAATGCTACCCCTCTGATGTCACTTATATTTTTTCTGCTGAAATATGAGCATGTTGTGAAAAGGAATGTGTGGATTATGGCAGACATGTACTCAGTTTGTTTGTAAGGCTGGAGTCCAGAAACCAAATTCATAAGAGAATTGGAGAAGGAAGACAAAGGCAAGGCCTCATCTGTAACAAAAGCAGCTTCCTAACCATTTTGTCCATCGCCTCATATAACCGTGTCGTCCCATATCTCTTCCCATATATATGCCGTTTTTATTTCTTTCTTATGAAAGTATCCCTCTTATCTGTCACCTCTGTCGTCCCCTCTTCTTTTAATGTTTCTGGGAGATACTTGATCGCCAGCCACACCAGAAAGTATGCATAATCCCTGCTGGTTGGATCCAACTGCCTGAGCAGCCACATCGTCTGAGTTTGTCTTGGATAAATCACCCCGATTTGGTAAACAAAAAATAGGATGTTTCTGAAAGCAGATCTAATCAGTTTGCTGTCGCATCATTTATTATTTTGTGGTAGCTGCTTTTGCCACAACCATGAATAAAATCTGTACCCAATGTTGGTAGCGTGTGTATAAATGTTACAGTTGTTTTATTAAGAACTATTAAACTCTCACCTTTCCAAAAGCACTCTGCTTACTGCCTGCTCTCTCCCGGCTGCCGTGCTGAGAAATTGGCACTTAAAGATACTGTTTGCTGTGCAAGCTGGCCTTCGCAAGTGCCAATGTGGTCTTGGTAGCTGTTTTGACAAAATAATGATCTGTGTTTTGAATTGGGCCAGTAGAGGACTGAGTTCTCTTACCGTAAAAAAGCCCATAAAGCAGAGGGTGGGAAGACCTCTTCTAGGCTTGCTCAGACCCTCCATTATGCTGAGAGGCCGAAGTTACAGTAAGTGTCCCCAGCCATGACCACTAATGTCGGCTGGCTAACAGAGAGGTCCGGTCCTACCCTCGTTCAGCCAACTCATCTATCACTAAGGAGAATGTCAATATTGATCTTGTTGGCCCATTGTCTGCTGCCTGGAATCACTGGCCAGTCCCCCCTCACCACCAACCCCCCGTCCTTCACCACCGATACTGTAAAGCAATCAGTTTTTGAACAAAATAGGGTTCTAGTTCCACCATAACTCTAATCCTTTCTGTCTCTTTCCTCACTTTTCTCTCCTCCTTAGTCTCTCCTGTTGCTTAGTTTGGAACCGCTGACAAACAGCTGAACAACCAGCTAAGAAGGGAGACCAAATTCCTTTTTTGTTTCTCACCTCACAGCCTGAACAGACTTCTTTATGGAAGTTGGATAATCAAGTTCTGATGTTTGCCAAGCCATAATCTTTCCCCGTGGCCCTGTTCTTTGTGCTGGGGATACCCTGTTCCTCTTAAAACAAGCAACACATACGTACCTTACACAATTGTTTCTCATTAAAGTCTTGATTAAATAACTTTTTTTTTAATTCTTTTGAGAGCTTTAGTCATGTAGTGTTTTGCATCAATATTTTTTTCTTTATGAAATGAAACATTTACAGTTTTTCCTTAGACAAACTTCAGCATCTGAGATTAACAGTAAAAAGACATTGCTGAAAAAAGAAAGTGGGAAACGGTTTGGTGTGAAACAAACCAAAAGCAAAGATGGATTAAGATGGTCTTATATGTTCATAACAAAGCTCTCGAATTTCTGATCGATCTACATTCGCATCCTTATCCATGGTCATGAGATTTGGGTACTGGCCAAAAAGACAAGGTCGTGAATACAAGCGGCGTAGGGTGGCTGGGTGCACCCTTCGAGATCAGGTGAGGAGCTCAGATACCCGGGGGGACCTCAGAGTAGAGTCGTTGCACCTCCATGTCGAAAGGAGCCAGCTGAGGTGGCTCTGGCATCTGTTTTGGATGCCTCCTGGTCGCCTCCCTCGGGAGGTGTTCCAGGCATCTCCCATTTGGAGGAGGCCTCGTGGAAGGCCCAGGACACGCTGGAGGGACTATGTCTCTGGGCTGGCCTGTTGTCGCCTCACGGTTCCCCCAGAGCACCTAGAGGAAGTGTGTCTGGATCGGGAAGTCGGTGCATATCTGCTTAAACTGCTGCCTCTGCGACCCTGCCCTGGATAAGCGGAACAAAATGAGTGGATGGATATATGTTCATATCAGTCGATTATTATATTTTTTCACTCTTCAGCTGCAAGCTTATTTATATAACTAATGTATTTTTGATTGAATTATATGTAAAAGTCAATGCAACATTGTTGCATTCATGAAGGCTGCAGGTGTCTATCTTAGCATGCTAACTAGCATTGCAGTGGTCGGATGTTTACGTTTAATTTGATTCAGGTCTGTTGTGTCAGGACAAACTATAAAACATGGGAAAACTTGAGAACTGACTTAAGACACTGCTGCGCGTAGGATGATGATGCACAATTTTAAGATTTATATTATAAATGTCTGAGAAGTGCTGGAGGCCTTTATGTTCAACCCACTAGGAAAATAATTTGTGTAGCTACCTTAAAATGCAAGGTTCAAATTATTTAGTATTTCTCTAGCTGCTTTAAACATCCAATGGAAAATATGTTCTGCTAATACTTGAGAAGTGGCTCATGCAGATTGAGTGGGGAGCATCTGTAAGCAACATTTTTCAAATTTTACAATGGTTTCACGCTTGGATTTAGGTCTGGAGTTGGCATGGTCAACATAAGATCTTATATGGTTTGGTCATAAACATGGACTGTTCTAGATACGGGCTAACGTATCAATATGCTATGCACTAGCACAAACACGTCCCTTGCACCCATCAATTTTATTTAGTTTTTATTCTTTTATAGTTTTATTTTGATTAAAATTTAAATTGTTTTACTCAAGTTTTAATTTTGAATTGATTAAAATTTATCATTTTCATTTCCAATAAATCAAAACCGTGCAATTTGTGAGTCATAAATGTAAACTGATAAAATATTCTAAAGAATATCTTTGTTTTATAGCTAATTTGATCAAAAATACTATAAAAATATTCCACTTGTCAAACCTAATATTTATCAACTCAGAGAAAATTAATGTTTCTATGATCTGAGTTTTTTTTTACAGTAGTTCTCTTTTGCGTTTAACATATTTTGATGCTCTAAGGTTATGAAATATTCAACGATGGTTAGATAAATAATACATCTTACAACCACACATCCCCACAAATGTTATCTGATTTGAAGGATTATTAAGACCTATTTATGTTTCTTTGATTTTTTAGCAAACATGTTACAATGCTAAACTTGAAGGTGAAAAAGTAAGAGCCAAAATGTCCAAGAAAGTCAGTTTTTACATTGAACTAAAATGTATGCAAAAAAAAACAACTATCATTTCAAACAAGTATTGAAACTTGTTTTTGATTTATTCATTTTTTCTTAAATATGACATTAAACAACTAATTTAATGGGTGAAATCTTTGAAGATTTGCAGGTCTGACTGCAGTGAATTTCAGTTCATTTTGTTTTTGCTTTTTTGCTCCCGGTTTAAATAAATTTTTAGCAAGCTTATTAAAAATATTTTGATTGAAATATCTGCCATTATGCACTTCTTTGCCTTTCTTTAGGTCTATGAAAGAATCTGGAGGCTAAATTATCAAGCTTGCATATGCACAAATTTAGACCTTGTTCCAAATATTCTAGCCATTTATCAGGGTAAAGCTCAAGCAGAGTCAGTGTCTATATGGAGGTTTGAGTAAATATGACATACGTTTTTATGGCTTGTCAGCTTTATGCTTTTCACATCACCAAAATATCTGTACAAATCAAAACAGTCTTATTCCGTATGCAAATATTTTTTTTATGCAGCATCCATTTCTTTCAAAGACGAGCAGGCATGCCAGGCAATTGCTATTTCAACCGAACTCAAAATGAATGCAGGCAGCTCCCGATTCATATTTGATCTCTTCTGGTGAATAGTAAAGCAGCACACGTTGTGTAATTGCTGAGGAAAGAGAAGAGCAAACTTGTTTCGTGTGAGATGCAGAAAGCTTGCGAAGGCCGCAGTGAGACTGCAGGAGGTGAGGGAGTGAGATGACATCACATCACTAAGAAAATGCTGAGCTGGATTTAAGGGCTACCGGATAAAACGGGTCTTATCCGACACTGCTACACCCCCCCACCCCCTTCGCCTTTCACTTTCTCCTGAGACGTACAGTACAGGTTGTGTTCTCATCCCTACATGGTGAGTTAATGGAAGGGGGGTTGAATATTTTAAACTGCTCCACTCGCCTTCCTCTTCTTGCTCTTCTTTTTTTCCTCTTTCTTTAACTGTGCCATTAGTAGAGTGAACACATGACCCTGTTTCTGTCACTGCAGTCCACTTTTGGAATCTGCATGACATCATTTTGTATTTTTGGGATGAGTGGCAGTACAGTGAGTGTCTTTTCTTCCTCTCTGTAGCTGAAGGAGGCTGCAGATCTCTTCTTTGTGGCTGTGATAACAGCCTCTCTGTAAAGGTCTGCAGACTTAAAGCTATTTGCATCCCGTAGATCTTAAAGAGTTCATTTTATGCAAGAAAGACCAATACGAGTCGACTGTTGCACATTTTAAATAAGATCAAGGTTAAAAGAAGAAAACAAACATATTTTACTTTCATCCCTCCTTAAAATTAGACCATTACTACCACTATCAGCCTCGTGTGCAGATGCACAGACTCCCACACACTTATGTTCACTAAGACAACCGGGATTGCCTGCTGAGGATTCTGACGGCCTCTCTTGGACTATCGCCATATGCATTCCTCCTTCCCCAGGTTGCCGTTGGTTCATCTGAGATCAGGCGGTGCACTCTGTCACCCCTTAAGTGAGTTCATACATACACGTATATGTGTGTATGTCTCTTCTAGTGTGAGTCCAAGTTCTGCATGCATCTTTAAAAGTTATCTTTAGTGCTTTTGCACATACAAAGGCATGTTTGTATGATTTTATTCATTGCTTGTGAACCACTCACCCATGCAGCAAATTACCATGATATGGCCCCTCTGTGCGGGGCCGACTGCTTTCACTACTGTGCATGTTGGTTTAGAGCCAGGAGCAACAACTGAAGGGGTGCAGAGCAGAAAACATGATAAATGCTTGTATCGATGCTTGGATGAAAATAATTGAATGTATAATAGGAAGTGATTAGGATACCAAAATAATCTAATATTTTTGTTTGAGTAAAAAAAAAAAAATGCCTTACCAATAAATTACTCAAGACAATATTTGATTCAAAGGCTATTCAAATACTGTGTAACTGTTCATAGCATATGTTTTACTATTTGAAATCATGTAACAAGACAATCATGGAAAACATTTCTCCATTTTCCGCTCCATCATGAGAAAGACCCCAAGATATTTGAAGGCAGGAACTCTGACAACCTGAATATATACTCTTCACAGTATGTTATCTTGAAATCCCCAAATTAAAGTTTAGTAGCTAAAAGTTGGATTAAAACAATGAAGCCTGTGTGGCCAAAAAAGGATGCATTTTAGGTAAATAGTGTCTTGATAGAAATAGAGAATCCCTTTAATGGCCCACAACGGGAACATTGTGGTGTTACAGTATCATTACAGCAAAGGTAGTCAAACAAATGTGGACCTTACAAGTGCAAATAAAATAACAAAATAAGTGGCTGTTTTAAAAAAAAAGAAATACTGTAC